ATGGTGAAAGAAAAAGGACCATTACAGCAAATACACATCTAAACTTTTATTGCGTACAGTACAGCAAAATGTGCCATTTAAACATTTTCCACTGGAAGCGTGTGGGAATTTCACCCCTACAGAAAAAGAAAAGGAAACTTAACACTTTTCAGCAGGTTTAAATGTGCTTTTCAGGAATATGAGCCATGATTGGACCACAATACCTCAACTAGTTTCAAACTCTTTTAACTGTGAACTGCGAGCTAAATGATTTCAGGTGCTATCGAGTGATGTTTCTTGTTCAGTATCCCTTTATGTTTCAGAAAAATAATGCACACTTTTTTTGCATGACCAATAAGTACAAAGCGATGCACAATCTGGAAGCTGCTGTCTGAGGATACATTTTTGTGTAGTAAAAAGTTTGTGCCTTTGCCTTGAAATGCTTTTGTTATGGTCATTTTGGGTAAATGTGATTGGCTTTTAGCAGCACAGGTTGGATTTCATTCAAATTAGTCAATGGCAACTCTATAATAATGGGTACTTTCCACATTATCTTTTCCAGCCTCGGTCGGTTCTTCGTTGTGCAACTTGTTTCCACTAGATGGCGCTGACGTTATTGTAATATTCTTGATGTATTGTGGAACCACGCTGGTTTAGAAGGTTAAAAGGACGACTAAAAAATTCTGCAATCCCATTTTCCCAAGCCTCTGATCAACAGAATGTCAATAAGTTAAGTATGAAATGAACATGAGCCGTTGTAAAATGAGGCAGTAGATGTATTTGCATCTAGAGCTTGTTTTCTAGTTTATTATTTAATTGATTCTATGAATAGTAGGAAGGGGGCTGTAGATCTGTCAGTGCAGTATTGTATCGTACGAGAATGTGAAATGAATAAGAAATGATGTCCACCTGCCACTGGAGTCCTCTGATAAACGTGTCCTACATGAACACAGTCTAGATTCAGCACAGCAATTCATGCAAATTTCACATCCTTAACCTTCTATTGCATGCATTATGAAAGCATGTTTGATGCAAAATATTTTTGCATAAAATGGAACTTATTGAAATCAATAGTTCCGAATATGTATATGACTTCTTTTATTGTGTTGAACATTGCCTATATGTTGCTCTTTTTGCATGCATTTAAAACTTTCATGCATCAAAAAGGATACAAAAGCATTATAAAAAATATCACAGTGGTCCATATTTCAAGTCGTCTAAAGTCGTACTATAGCTTTATGTGAGAAACCAGTTGAAAATGATACTAATTTGCTAGAAAATCTTTCCTTTAAGCAAGCTGATTGTTAAATCAGTGAGTTGAGCTCAAAAACTGGATCAGTGTAATTCACATATGAATAATTTGTGAACTGAATCAACCGATTCATTGAAAAGATCTGACTCAAGAATCAATCAGACTCAGACATTGTTAGTCCTCTAATGTAGTCTTAACACAATACATATGGCTTTATGAGAAATGGAAAAATGAATCCTATGGGCTACGTTCCTCTTATTTTCATTATATAGAAATATTTGACTCAGATAATTGTCAAAAAAAATCTACTTTTGTGTTCCACAGAAGAAAGAAAGTCAGGTTTGATCATGGTTTTAGTCATAGTTTTTGGGGTAAACTATCCCTTTAACCATAGATCTAAATGAAAAACAAACAACAGCAAAAGTATTCATAGTAGCCGTATTAATTTCATCCCACAGTTGCTTCTGAACAATAAGTGTTTAAGCAATCATAACGTACTAATAATTTATGTAACTGTAAATGCTTTAATTGAAGTTTATTGTGCTTATCAGTTGGGGATATGCTATAATTGATTAATATTGTCTGCTTCTCTCCACCGTATGTCCTCAAGATGATTTTGAAGAATGCTAGGATGTAGTGTGACCAAGAAAAGAGTTTAAATTCGTACTCATCTCTTCACTATAAACCGTTTTATATGCATCAGGTGCTTGTAAAGTGTACAGAATAGGCTTGTTACCCAGAATGCAATAGACGGACACTCAACGATGGCTGTTTGCAAACCGGAAACCACGACGCACTCCTGGTTCCCTTTATCCTTAAATCTAGCTTGACATGAGCAACCCAATATGATGAAAGATCTAACGGGTGACATTTGCAAAACCCTTGTGGTACATTGACTGTTTACAGAGGGCTTGATGATTCTCAATTACAGTTTTATAGGACGATCTGAGAGGTGCGAATCTTATGAGAGTGAAGTGTGACGAAAGGTCACCGTGGCATATTGAACGGCTGGTTTGGTTGTTTGAAGTGCCGTCAAACGAGGCAGAACCGTGAATTGCGGGTCCCAATGTGACCTGGATTTTACAGTGCCGTGAAACCGGCTTCTGATGTCTGCCAAGGGCATTTCAAATCAAACGTATGATTTTATCCTAGCAAATAACAGGACTTCGTAAGCGTGACCCGTTGATGTCGTAGGATGCCAGCTTGATATTGCTTTTCTCGACGGTTAACAAGTCCCTGTTTGGATGCAAAACTCGCTCTGTCACTTTATAAGACCTTTTAAGTGGTTCTAAAATTGTATAATTAATGGTGTAGCGCCACCATCTCTTTGTCTCAAATTTGGCCCTTTTAAATAGTGTGCACTTTACCTGTCATCCAGTCTGATGTGTGAACATATCAAGAACCTTGGTTTCCCTCATCTGTGGTTCAGATACACTGCTTTCTCTCCTCTAGCACTGCATTGAGATTCCTTGAATGGTAAATTGTACTGAACAAATTATTTCATGTTTTTCTTTTTTACATTTATTGTAAAACATAGCTCGGTTCCAAATCTTTAATGACACGTTGTTTTATGAATGAGCAGACAGTGATCTCACATGGCTCAAGTACGCCGTTCATTTTGAGTCAAAAGTTGTATAAATCAAGAGTAGCTCTGAAAGATTCAGTGAGAGACTGGATTAGAACGATTCTAACTCCTTTTGACTGAATCATTTAAAAGAACAAGCTTGTAAGAGTCATTTTGTTCATGAATTAGGGTTTCGTTTTGACACTTTTATTTCTTTCTAGAGCTTCATCCCAGTGTTGTTATTGTTAACCAAAACTAAATCGTTTTCATTAACTGAAAATATAAACCTTAGATCAAATGAAAATTAGAAATGTTTACTTGGCAATTAACTGAAATAAAATACGTTTAAGTCGAAGTAATAAAATTAATAATACTAAAAGTGAAATAAATAGAAAAGCTATTAAGTGAAGGAAATGTGTATAATTTTTCTTCTTACAAAACTGAACTGGTTCTTGAGTTTCATGTGAATCGATAAATCGGCATATGTCCATTTCGTTCTTGACAACACAGAATAATTCTCACTGAACGCACAAGGACGGATGCTCTCGTAATGGTGCACAATAGACCTCTAAGAGCTGAGAACATTTTCATTAATATGCAGATTTGGTGAATGGGAGCTTAACTTCAGTTTTTTTGTGAATGCAAAATGAGGGACGTTTTGTCCTTGACAGCAGTGCCGAAATTAACCAGACGTTTCCTCAGATTTGACAGCATATGCCTTTGATGTCTTCCCTTCTTTTCTTTGCATATCATGAGGTTTTTACAACTTGTTTGTTACCAGCTTTTAATTTGCGGTCTGTCACTCAAAGCTATCACATGACACCAGAAGACTTGGTGTACAGCGCAAGAGGCGACTTGTGTAAGTGCTTTTGATGTTTTGTTAATGTTCGGAGCTTTACATATGAATCGCTGTGTGACGATTCGTCAATAATTCTCCTTTTTTGTTCCACAGAAATCATAATATTCTCATATTCCTGCACAAGATGACTTCAGATGGATCTAGCTCTGAAGGAAAAGCAGCCATCGTGGCGGGTTAATGTTCACGGCATCTGCGTTCATGTCAAAGAGCTGATGGATTTCGTCTTTTCCCCCACCTAGTTTATTACAAATACATGTATACACAGGCTACAAGTCATAATAGAGGTACATAACCGATCAAGAGTATGTACAAATCCCATGTATTTACATTACATACAGTGATTTATAAAGGACATGCATCTTGTAACTGCAGTAGTATCATTCTATGAAACCTATAATATTATATTCCAAGTTAGTTATATAAATAATACGATTATTTGATACCTGCTCATGTACGACTAATATTCACATCACATGGTTCCCTTTATGGATAACAGTGCTTTTATGAAAACTAGTCTCTTTTTTTAGAGGTTGCAAAGTGGCTTTAATCGGCATCTTCTGATGATAGGCATTTCTGCCTGGCTTCGTGATCATCAAACGTCACTTTCTTATTCCGTTTAGGGTCGATCCAGGAGTTTCGAATCACTGCGTTGTTCGGCAGCGGATCCGCCTCGATGATGGACACCACCCGTTTCTTCATTTTACTTTTCAGGACTTTCTGAAACTTTTGCCTTGTGAAGGCATACAAGAGTGGATGGAAGACCGTGGTGCCGTAGGCCATGACCAGAAAACCCATTCTGAGCTTGACGGTGAGGTCGCTGGGGCCTGCGCTGAGAATCACAGTGTTTAAAACGGTAATGGGCGTCCAACAGAGGAGGAACGTGGAGATGATTAGCAACGACATGCGGAAAACGCGCTTTTGCCTCTCACGGCGTTCCCGGTGGCGTTTGACGGCCCGTCGCAGGGCGATGATCACCGAGACTGACGTGCGCATGCCAAGTGGAGCATTTACGCGGTTTCCGGCGCTGCTTTGCGAGGCGTCTGTGATCTCGGGGAGCTGTTGTTCAGATGTCGACATAAGAGAGAAGTTCTTTTTCCTCCTCATCTTCTTCTTCTTCTTCTTCTGCGTGGCATGGAAGCGCGTACCAATGCGGATGTTGAGAGCCTGCAGGATCTTCGCGTATGTCATTAGCATTATGACGGCAGTCAAACAGAAAATGGGGATTTGGGCCACTAGGTGGTAGTACAGACCGAGTTCGGTGTAATACTCGTTTACGTGCACAACGGCGGTCTGATTTGCTTTGGTGGGCTCCGGTCCCAAGAATCCCACTTCGATAAATGGCACCA